CTTAAGCAAATGAAACTGGGCAAAAGCCCAGGTCCAGACTGATTCTGCATGGCATATTGTAGATCTTTCTCTGATCTTCTGACTCAACCTTTTCTTCATGTGTTCAACCAGCTAGTATGTCCCTTTCTATCCCTAGATGCAGAGAAGGCATTTGATAGGTTGGCCTGGGACTACCTTGAAGCTGTTCTAAGCTCTTTGGGCCTGGGTACCTGGCTTACTCGCTTCATTATGTCACTATACACTAATCCTACTGCGAAAGTTAGGGACAATGGCCTCCTATCAAACACCTTCTCTATCAGAAACAGCACTAGGAAGGGATGCCCCCTATTCCCTTTATTATTTATACTAACCCTCAAACCTTTCCTATTCCTCCTACGAGACTATTTGCAGAGTGACCGTAGCGGACAAACAATATACATTGTCTGTCTTCAATGATAATATGTTGCTTTTCCTTTCAGAACCTTTTGTGACTATTCCCAACCATCTGAAAGATTTTAACCTATTCTAGTACATACAGTAGCTCACTTTAAAATACATTTCACTAAATCCCAAGCCCTTAATATCACGCTGTCTTCATACCTAACCTCACAATGTCAGCACAACTTTCCATTCACCTGGCAACCTGAAGCAATTACATACCTGGGAAACCAACTACCTTCCCGCCTCTCAAACTTACATTAAAAAAACTAACTACCTGCCCTTTGAGTGATCACAGAAGACCTTAAAAATTGGAGTAAACCCCACTTCTGCCAGTTTGGTCGTGCAGCAATTCTTAAAATGAATGTATTTCTGTGCATTCTCTATATACTCCAAACAATACCCATTAAATTACAGACTTCCTTTTTTTGTTCCATTAGAAAAGCAAGTACATATGCACTTTCTATGGAATGGAAACAGACCCAGAATTAGCTATACTCAACTTGCTACACCCAAATCTAATGGGGAATAGGCCTCCCTGATTTCCAGTATTCTTACTGGGCATGTCATCTGCAACATATAGTGAACTGCATGTACACCACCGAACCAACGATTGGGTCGGTCTGGAAAATGTATTTTAAATATTTCCCATTCGCTGTGCCCCATGGATTTGATGCTGCCCTGAGTCGGCCCTATAAGCCTTCAGAGAGACTTTCCACAAATTTGGAATTTCTATGACAACACATAGTCCCATGACACCTGTATTATCGAAACCAGATTTCCCTCCTGGAATGACTAGACACTAGACAACCTGAAAGAACCCTAAGAACTCACCATCTTCTTCACGAGGGTACTTCTTTTTTTGCTTGACAGCATGCAAACATGGTGGCCTGACCTACAGATAAATGCATGGGAATACATGCAACTAAAACACTTCATTTCTTCTCTTCAATGTTCCACTGACTTATCTAAGCCCCTGTCACTCTTTGAAAAATATGCTCTAATCCTAACCCTCAACGGCACATAATATCTTCTGTCTATACTATACTATGGGCTAACACACTGACTTATACAGGAAAAGCCTGTAGGGCATGGACTCATGACCTGCACTTGGACCTGACTGAAGACCATCGGGCATGGATATTCCATCACACACACAAAGGATCCATTAATGTCTCCATTCAGGAAAACAATTATAAAGTTCTTATCTCGCTGGTACCGGACCCCATCCCTTCTACACAAATTCAATGCCAATATTTCAGATCAATGCTGGCCAAGCCATCAAGCATCCGGTACTCTACTTCATGTGTGGTGGGAATGCCCACTTATCAAAAAATTCAGGAAAGCGGTTTATGACCAGATAACCAAAATCACCACCTACTCATTGGATTTCATGCCCGCTAAATTCCTCCTTCACCACTGTGCCCTTAACTCTAATTCCTACTTTAAATCTTTGGCCATGATATTAGTAAATGCTGCCAAATTATATATATCCCTAGGTTCTGGGGCAGCTCCAAAACCCCTACCATTTTGGACTGGTACACATTTATCATTAAAATGGCTGAAATGGAGGAGCTCATATCAGTTTCACATGACTCACATGACTCCCCCTCTAAATTCACTTCCATGGGGGCTTGCTGGATCCATTTCCAGTCCTCTGAAGAATACCTCTATTCGATGGGTCTCCCCTTGCCCAACTAAACCTAAGTTGACAAACATCTGAGTCTCAACTTACCCAAGCCAAGCTGTTCTGCTCATTCCAGACCCTGTTCGCTTTTTCTATCAAATTCAAACAATTTTAGTATATTTTTATTCTAGATTCAAACCTTAGTTACACACAATCCCCCCCCCTTTTTTTCTTTCTTAGCCTAATGACCTCTTCCCTCTCCCCCATTCCCCATTCATCTCCCTTCTGCACATGTGCGATCCTAGTAATAGTGTAAGTGCGGGTTACATACACTCCCAAACCGACAACCTTCTTTGTCATCTGCCGTAGGATTGCTCTATGCTTTGCCGACTTACAACTCCTAGTCACGCCCCAATGACATAGGCTTCATTAGGATACATATTATCAAGAAAACAGTTCTGTTGATGAGCACATACTGCTCCATGCCAGATGCAACATTGGCCCTCCCTTCATTTATAAGTTGTTTACACCCTAACGTGGACATAGCTCCTGTATACAACTGCCACCTATGAATGTGTGTTCTGTTCTCTCTTTGTTCTATGAATAGATGTAAATACGATAATGTACAACCTGTGTTATGAACACTTTTTCAAGTTTGTATTGTTGCCCATTTACTACTATGTAAATCTTATTCACTTTAATACATGTTTGTTTGGAAAAACAAAAGAATAGGACTTGTGAGCACTCAAGTCTCTTAAAGTAGATGTCAGTCCTTAGTGAAGGTCTTATAGGTAGCAAAATGCTGGATATGCTGGAGAATTTGAGTGTGGTGAGGGAAAGTTTTTTTTTTATCCCTCATTAAATCTTAATGCTGTTGTTGTCCTGCTGCCTCTTTATAGGGATATCATACATGAACTATAGCGATATCTTTTTTTTTTTTGCAAGGGCCTATTTTCTAATTGTTGCTGGCTTTGATTGTTTTTTTTTACAGGCCTTTTTTTACAGTGGACTCTCCATGAAAATGGAAGGTCCACTTTGTTGAATGCTCTCCACCTTCCAAAATTAAATTGCCTGCAAAGACAATTTTGAAATAAAGCTTTTACTTAAAAAGAAAGAAAGAAAGAAAGAAAGAAAAAGAAAGAAAGAAAGAAAGAAAGAAAGAAAGAAAGAAAGAAATAATCCTACCTCAGCCTTGGCATTCAAAGCTTCCAAGAAGCACTGACTTTACCACACTGCTGTTTCCTAAGATAACTGGGCACTGGAAATTCCACAAGAATATGCCCCAGCAATGGACTGGAAATGTCAGAAGCTGCAGTCAAGGAAAATATTTTTTTAATTTTTTTATAGCACCAACTTAATTTACAAAATGCTTTTGCAGGAAATTTGATTTTGGGGGTGTGTGTCTTTTAGTAGGGTGGACCATCCATTTCCATAACTTTTAATGAAATTCCCTGACCCGCCACCTCTAATGCATTTGATTATTTATATTTTTCAAAGGTGAACTTATCCTTTAACCACTTGCCCTCCTGAAGATTTACCCCTATTCATGACCAGGCCATTTTTTACATTACAGCGCTGTGTTATTTTAACTGACAATTGCATGGTCATGCAACACTGCGCCAAAATGAAATTTATGTCCTTTTTTTCCTACAAATTGATCTTTCTTTCAGTGGTATTTTTTCTGCTATAATCAAAAAAAGGCTGACAATTTTGAGAAAAAATACTATATTTTGGAATTTTTGCTATTAAACATGGCCAGTAAAAAAATTTTAAAAATCTAATTTCGTCATTTAGGCCAAAATGTATTCTGAGACATGTTTTTTGCTAAAAAAAATCCCACTATGTGTAAATTAATTGGTTTACGTGAAAGTTATAGCATTTACAAAATGGCGGTATTGATAATGGGATTTTTTTTCTACTAGAAATGGCGGCGATCAGCAACTTTTAGTGGGACTGCGGCAGACATTCTGACACGGGGGAACTAACTTGGTGTCACTGACACCCCAGTGGCTCCAATACAGTGATCAGTCCTAAAAAAAAAAGCACTGACACTGTACTAATGGCACTGGGCTGGAAGGGGTTAATGTGAGGGGTGATCAAAGGGTTAACTGTGTGCTGGGAGTATTTTACTAGGGGGTGGGGTGTGTGTTCTTCACTGTAAACACAATGATCAGAATGGCTGTACTGTGCACAGCCATCCCGAGAAGTGTGCTCAAGCTGGCAGGGAGGAAGATTGTTTGTAAACAAAACAATCTTACTCCCCATCGGAGATGTTCTGTAATCACCGGGCGCTGGTGAGTATTTACTGGCTGGGACTCGGTGATTGACATACGCGGCCTCGAATTGCGGCGTGGGTAGGGCATTCACGGCTTGCACGTGTCCCCTACCCGGAAATGCAAAATGATGTATATATATACTGTACATGATTCTGTGCACATGTGCCACCCTGTAGCAGTACATCTGCTATAGGACGGTCCTTACCCACTTGCCTACAGGGCACTTTTACCCCCTTCCTGCCCAGGCCAATTTCCAGCTTTCAGCGCTGTCACACTTTGAATGACAATTGTGCAGTCATGCAACACTGTACCCATATGAAACTTTTATAATTTTTTTGTGACAGATAGAGCTTTATTTTGGTGGTATTTAATCACCTCTGGGTTTTTTTTTTCTTTAACAAACCAAAAAACCACTGAAAATTTTGAAAAAATAAGTTTTTTCTTAGTTTTTGTTATACAGTTTTGAAAATAAGTGAATTTTCTCCTTCACTGAAGTGTGCTAATGAGGCTGCAGTGATGGGCACTGGTAGGCTGCACTGATGGACACTGATAGGTGGCACTGATGGGCACTGATGAGGAGGCACTGGTAGGTGGCACTGATGGGCATTGACAGGCATCACTGATGGGCACTGAAGGCAGCACTCATATATGGCACGGATAGGCAGCACTGATAGGCAGCACTGGCTGGCACTGATAGGCGGCACTGATAGACAGCACTGACGGGCACTGATGCACACTGATAGGCGGCACTGACTGGCACTTATGGGTGACACTGAAAGGCAGCTCAGATGGGCAGTGATATGTGGTATTGATGTGCACTGAAATGTGGCACTGATGGGCACTAGCAGGTGGCATGGATGAGCACTGACAGCTGGCACTGATGGACACTGATTAGGTGGCAATTCTGGGGCTACACAGATCATCAGGGCACACTGATCATCAGTGCTCTGATGATCAGTGTACATGTCCCCTCCGAGGAATGCCGATTACCGGCTCTCCTCACCTCTCCTCTCGAGCTGTTAGCATGACAGCTCGTGAGGAGAGAAATGCCGATAACCGGCATTTCCCTGTTTACATGTGGTCAGCTTTGATTGGACACAGCTGATCACATGACCAAGCCGACATCTTCGGCTCTTTCCGTTGATCTGTGATCCGCTGTGTCCGAGGGACACAGTGCACCGACGATCGCCGCGCTGCACGCTCCCAGAGCCGCACATGCGTGGTTAGAACAAGATAGCTACCTTGCGCCCACCATTGTACTATATGGCGGGCGGCAGGTGGTTAAGCAGTTAAAATATACCTGGGAAATATGCAGCACCAAAGAATATTGAAGCCACTCCTATAAAAAAAATGTCTACTTTAAAAGTAATTCTTTGCTAAAAGCAAATTGTGTAAAAAAAAAAAATACTTATCACTTCCACAAAGTAGTACAATGTTACTATGGTAACATTATACTACTTTGGTCCTAGTGAAACATGAAAAAAAAAATCTTAAAAAAGGAGAAAAAAAATTAAATAAAAAAAAATAAAAAAATAAAAAATAAATTTAAAAAAAATATTTTTTTTTTTTTCCGTCACTAGTCAGTGTCCCTGATCACTGCCACAACAGTTATATGATGACGCTGTACTGCACTGGTGATAGTGTGTAAAAAAAATAATAGTGAAAATAATTTTTTTCATTTTTTCATTTTCAAAAAATTATGACAAAAAACTTACAACTTCAAAAATCTCGCAATGCCTCTTATGAAGTACGTCGAACTGTCTACTTTGCAAAAAGTGGTCATTTGGGGGATATCTGTACTGTTCTGACATTTGGGGGATATCTGTACTGTTCTGACATTCTTGGACCTCAAGAAATTAGATTGGCCGTCAGTACTTCAGGATTGATCAATTTTCAGATATATCCCATAGTTTGTGAACTCTATAACGTTCCTACAAACTAAATAATACATCCTAATTTGGGTTATTTTCACCGAACACATGTAGCAGAATACATCCTGGCATAAATTTATGAAGAACATTTACTAATTTGCAAACTTTTATAACAGAAACAAAGAAAAATGTGTTTTTTTTTTCAAAATGTTCGGTCTTTTTTTATTAATTTAGCAAAAAATAAAAACCACAGTGGTGATTAAATACCACCAAAAGAAAGCCCTAGTTGCGTGATGAAAATGATAAAATTTTAGTTTGAGTACAGTGTTGTATGACCACGCAATTGTCATTCAAAGTGTGAGAGTGCTGAATCCTGAAAAATGGCCTGGGCAGGAAGGGGGTAAAAGTGCCCAGTATGGAATCGGTTAAGCATGAAAAACTCCCAAAATCCATTTTTTTGCAGCAGTGTAACAGTTGCAGCTAAAGAAAATGTTTGTTGAAGCAGGGTCCATCCTGTGCTCTGCAGGAATTTTTATGTGGTGTTATAGTGTTTTGGCACTGCAAGCACCCAAAACCCAATATTTTTTGGCTGGGTGACAGTAGCACAAAATATACAATTTTCCATCAAGGTTGATCCTATACTCTTCAAGAATACTCATGTTGGGTTATGGTCCTTTGTCTCTAATGATAGCAAAAACCTTTCTATAAAGCTTATTTTTAAGAAGTAGAATTGATAAAAATGTTTGTCCTGGGTACATATTGTACTGAGCATTAATTTTGCAGTGCATCATCAATACAAATTAGGTTTCCTCATTCTGCTCCTCAGTTTTGAAATTTGTAATACACACTCTTCACATTAGTGTGGCCTAACAGTAATTCCTTATATAAAAACCACCTGGTCTCACTCTGGCCTATAAAAAAAACATGCTTTGAAATTTGTGCATATAATTCCTTAAAACATTTTCACCTTTGTACCAGGATGAATAAAATGTATCTTTTGGATTAGGAGATAGAGCTTGCCTGGTTTCTCCCTCTTCAATGGTCTTTTATGAGAAGTTTTTTCATGTGCATAAAATTGGTATGATTTGTAGATTATTTGTTAGAAAAATAACAGTCTAATTGATCAGTGCTCACTAAAATATAACATCTGCCTGCATTCTAAATTGCCTTCTCTTAAAAACATAAAGTATTAGCGTGCATCAAATTAGTAAAATAGTTATAATGGAGTTAATTTACTAAAACTGGAGTGTGCAAAATCTGGTGCAGCTGTGCATGGTGACCAATGAGCTTCTAGCTTCAACTTTTTCAGTAAAGCTTTGACAAAAAAAAAAAACCAGGCACTTAATTTGTTAACATCTCTAGCGGTCTGATTGGGGTTTATTTACTGAAGCTGGAGAGTGCAAAATCAGGCTCACTTCTGCCTAGAAACCAATCAGCTTCCAGGTTTTATTGCCAAAGCTTAATTGAACAAACTGAAGTTAGAAGCTGATTGGCTACCATGTGCAGCTGCACCAGATTCTGAGTGCTCCAGTTTTAGTAAATCCCCCCCCATTATGTCAGTATTTTTGTGCTGAAAGCGGTACTTTTTTTGCATGGAAATATGTCGTTTTTTTATTGTAGGCCTGTAATTCACTGAAATCTGGAACAAGAGTCTACTAAACATCCCGGGTATGATAAAATTTGAAACACAAAATCATAACTTATAATGTAATACACAATCATAAAAAATAATAATACATTTAATTCAATAATGTAATCAAACCAAAAACACTGAAATTTAAAATAGAGCAAGTTCGCACATCTCTGATCTTAGTCACAAAATCGTTTTCAGAGTCCAATGACGAATTTCCCCACGAATCATTATCACTCAATTCTGCAAGTGGTTCTAATTTATGATCACTGTTCTCTAGCTGATCTAAAACCTCTTTTGACCTAAAGGAACGCTTTTTGGACACCATGGACGTTTCTCAGTTTCCAGGCAGAAAGAACAGTAAAAATGCAGGCAGGGAACAGGACAAAGCACTAGGGACAAAATGTATGTGAAATGGTTTGATACAGTAATGTTTTAGTATGAGATTTTAGTGTATTGAGTGAATGTCACATTTTAAAATTTTAGCATTTCCCGCTGGTTCAGTCCCCCGTGCATCTCGATGCTCGCAGGGAACGGAGCCAGGAAGACAGATGCTGGCATCGGCCTGAAGAGATGGCCAGGGACGCTGCAGGGGGGACATCGTGGGAACACAGGACAAGGTAAGTGCTGGAGGGAATCCCTGAACAATGCTGCAGGGTAATCCCGAGTGTAGAATGAAATGAAAACGAGAAGCGCACCAACCTTGCGCATTACCTCAGTAACCAAAATTTATTAATTGTAAAAAATATACTCACAAACAGCGAATAAAATCAGGCATGTAAGTCCTCACAGGGACTTGAAGCTAACATGAGTCCCATCAGGGGAGTAGGTGTTCAGTACAGCTGACGCGTTTCGAAGGGGGTCCCTTCTTCCTCAGAGCTAACTGAACTGTGAGTGCTCTCTCCTATATATACTCCTGGACTGAACCTAGGCCCTCCCCACTGGGTTGGGCAGTCTCAGGTTAGTAGGAGGGGCCAAGATATCGTCAACAGACAATCACTATTTGTAATTCCATCAGAGAGAAATGATATAGACAAACGTAAAATATAAGATATAAAATATATAAAAACCACATTTTGCATACACCACTTAGTATGCATGTAATATATCAACTTAGCGATGAACACCAATGGGAATGATGATAATAGATAATAAATGATGAAACATAATATATAGTAAATAGTAAATAGTTAGTCTTATTCCATGATTCATTAGTGAGCGATGTATCAAATGGACAATTCATCCAGAGGGCTTGTCATGATGCTGGATGAGTATATAGCAATTAATGTAAAAATAGACATAAATTGTTAGTCAATGGATGTCTTAATGGATAGGTGTCCATAGTGACACAAACACATGTATATATATGTAGACATATAAACCCACACACAAACCTTCAACCAGAAGCTGTGTGATGTGTGCTACCAGGCAGCTGCATGTGCTTCATGATCGGATGATGGAGAGGATTGGATCAGTAATCTTGGATCCGTAATAATGTATGGTCAGCAGCAGAGGGAGATCTTATGCTTCCCTCTATAGCTGCAGGTTTACCCTGTGTGTGGTACGCACGCTAGTATGGCATGGTCATGACTGCGCATGCGTGGACCAACATGCGCATGCGCAGTGTGAGGAGGACAGGTCCGTCGGTGCGATCACGTATAGTATATTATTCTATATGGTTACACCTAATATATACATCTTCCATACAGGGTCTCGTTACATATGCTGCGATTACCATTCACCCTATTAAGAAGCAAAACCAAAAACCAAAATAATAGATTGCTTTAGGTTTGAGGTGCAAGTGATGGCCTTGTATGCTGGATCATAGTATCCTAATATTAGACTCTCTCACTATCAGTAGTATTATCATTGGATCATTTTAATGTCTTTTATCAGTACTAGGGTGCATAAGCGCCTGCATCGTGGTTTTTACCTCAATATCTAATGTGCAATTATGTGTATAGAGTCTTAGTTGTATTATATGTATCATATCTTATATTATATTATTATTTTATCTTATTGTATTTATCATCATATATTACATATGTTCTATACATGATGCATAGATGGCATTCATGTGAACATATGCCTATATGTCTCATATTTTATACCCACCGGCAACACTACTGTCATATCCACTCAAGGAGATACACGCATGTGTATGTAGTGTATACACATGTATACATATGTTCATGCTGATGTCTTTTCACTTCAATACACCTCTGGAGTGCGGCAGCCAGGGCCGTCTGACCACCCCATTTGATTGGCTATGACGTGCACACAACAGCAAGTTCGCCAGAGGGGAATCCCCAGACAGTCCCCCCAACTAGAGCCTCGTCAGAGGATGGGGGCGGGGGGTGGCAGGTCTGGTATCTTGCCCAATAGAGCGGTGTTGGTGTACGCGCACAGAGTGGCCGTCAGATGCGCGTGAAGCGCGCTCACGTGATTGCGCCGACGGACCTGTCCTCCTCACACTGCGCATGTGCATGTTGGTCCACGCATGCGCAGTCATGACCATGCCATACTAGCGTGCGTTCCACACACAGGGTAAACCTGCAGCTATAGAGGGAAGCATAAGATCTCCCCTGCTGCTGACCATACATTATTACGGATCCAAGATTACTGATCCAATCCTCTCCATCATCCGATCATGAAGCACATGCAGCTGCCTGGTAGC